GTGGTTCATTAGATGTAAATATAAATGACACCCCTTGTTGGTAAGTGATGATGCCCAAGGGGTGTGTGGGGATGGTGGGAAGAGCCAGGACCATGGGACCTGTACAAATATTGCTGGGATAATCATTCAGAGCGTTGTTCCTTCCACCTCTCCCAAATGAAATCCCAAAGAAGGGACAGCTACAGGGGGTATTCTTACCCCCTCCCCCCCACCACCTTTTTTTTTTTTATACTCCAAATAGTGAGGTTTTTGAGGTTTTTTTTCAATCTGCTGTTTGTAGACCATGATCCTGAGATGCCATTACCATCTTACTGGGCAGCATTGGATGTTTTCAGTGTTTCTAATACTGCCTGGTAATGATGATGATGGTGTTTCCTGCACAACGTGGAAAAGCTCAACAGCGAATTTGGGAGCAGAGGCTGGTGGCCAGGAGAGAAACCCACACTTGACTCTCAAATCTCCCCAGGCACAAGTAAATTTACAATTAAATGCTTTGGGTTCTAGAATAAAGGGTAAAAGAGAACAGAAGAGAATCTTATCCTTATTCTAGAATGATAAAATAATGTTAGAGTGAGTCTGTAAGTAGAAAAGGGTGCAGAGTGTGGAACAGAGCCCAGGTGTGAGATGGCAACAACAGAACACATTCCAGTGAAAAATGTTCAGTTTTGTAGCAGTGACCTTTTTATTTAATTTTAAATGTTGGCTTCCCAGAGAATGAAAGTAAACATTTTATTGATGTGTAACATTTGGGGTTTCTTGCTCATAATTTTTTGTCAAAATCAAAATGTTCTTTTCATCTAAAAATAAGATCATTTAAGAACTAGACTGTCAAAATCAAAAGTGGAGTTTATTTTCTCAGCTCTGCTATTGTAACTTTCCCTTTCTTTTTCACAGCAATCACTCTAGGCTTCGCCAGTAGAATGTTCTAATAGCAAAGCCACTTATTTTAAACCTTTGGATTTTTATGTAATGTATACATTTTGCATTTTATTTTTACACAGATACACTTTAACATCGATTTGTCACTTCTCTGCAGGGAGACAGGGGAAGAGAGAGAGAACAAGACTTAACTCCCCTTCCCCTTGATTGTTTTCATTACTTCAGTGGACTAATACTATAATCCATTTTAAAATATGATGGGCTTGATTCTTATTTTATGAGGTTTCTTTCCCTAAATCAATTATACTGGTTAAAGTCACCTTGAAAGAACTGGCTCAGCCTAAAGGGACTTAGTGGAAGTGGGAATTTTGTCTTAAAAGTTTCACGGAGGCTTTTTTTGTTCTTTCCTGAGAATTAAAGGAAGTTAGTTACACTTCCCAGGTATCACATATTAAAGCTGCAGTAAATAATGATTTATAAAGGCATTACTGCTGTTTTTACCTGACACACAGCTTTACGGGCAGGTGTTTCAGGGTTCCTGGCAGGTGTTAAGCACCCAAAGGCAGCAACCCCTGTGGGGGCTCATTACCTGCCTGGAGAAGGGGCTGGTTGTTTCCTTGAACCCTCTGCTGGAGCATCGACTGAACGAGTCACTGAAGTGTAGCTTGGATGAAAGGTTGTATAGAAATATATATATATATATATATATACACACCATGTGAAATACTGTGCTGGATCCACAAAGACTTATGAGTATCTTATGGCTGTAATAAATATTATATGCAGTGAAGCAGAAGGGCTCAGCTCAGAGCTCTCTTAAGCTGTTGCACAGTGAGAGTCCCCCGAGAGACACGAGTAGCCATGAGGGGTGATGAAGAAAGGAAGAGGAGACAAAAGCTGCTGCCGTGCTCCTGGTGAGGCAGTGGGTCGGGGCAGAGGCAGAAATGTGGAGTCCTGGGAGGAGCAGCACCACTTAGACTGCACTTCTGAAAAACAAGAAAACCAAGCAGACAGGTACCTTATCACCTTTATCATTAGTATTCACTAGGTTTAATTACATCCCTGTTTAACCACTGTGTCCCTAAGTCTCTTGTCACCGTCACTTCTATTTAAGATCAAATTTGTCTTCACCCCTTAAAGTAAAGCCAATACAATAAAGTATTTGTTGTAAAAGCAACCGACTGCATTAAATGACAGGCCACCTTTGTCACTGTTTTGTGCCCTCTTAGTTCTGTTTTCTTGATATCCCAGTTCTCAAAATGGCTTTTTTGGAAAGACTTGAATCAGTTGTTACTTTTGTGAATCAAAAGGGAGGAGGGAGTGAGGGAGCCAAGACCCAAACCACAAGAAGTCTCACTGCTTTTACATCATGTTGAAATAGAACTTAACCTTATGTTTCTATTTTAGATCTTAAATCAACTTTTTATACTGTCTTTGTCTCCTGAAATCCACCGTGATTTTCAAACTATCCTTTGATATCAAATGTCTTCCTTCTGCCCATCACATATTTGGTAAATTATTTCCACCCCAGTGAAGAGGGCAACCTTTCTCAAGCCATTTCTGTTAGTTTTTCTGGAGCACTGACACCCCGACGAATGTGGAATCATTAATAGAGGCTTCATTCCTCCAACTGCTGGACAGACCATGGTCCTCTGTGGGCATCTTACTAGACAGTGCTGGATTTTTTGGATCTACTCTAACACTGTCTGGTAACGATGTTTAAAGGGTGAACCAAACAACAACATGCACCAGGAAGACACTGTACCACAATTTAGGCTACATTTGGACAAGAGGGTAAGGATGTTGGCTGTCGTATTAACAAGTATTTTTACGTAAACAGCTATAATCATAAATACTTCCAGCAAAGCCATTGCTGGAAACCACTCCATTAGATGCTCCTGAACCCGGGTGTTGCTGTGGAGGAGGTGAGACAGGACCTACCAGCTCTAACATACAAAAAGCAGCTTTTCACAGAGGCAGTAACTCTTTCTTCTCTCCAAACAGTGGGATATATTTCTTTGCCTGGCACAGCCCTTGTCCAGGGGGGGCTGAAAGACTTGCTCAGAGGTTGCCACGCTTGGCTGTGAAAGGTGGCCAGGGCAGGATACTGGCTGTAAAGGTCATTCTTCCCAATTACAGTTCAATTATAGCTCCATGCTTGAACGGCCCATGAACTTCCAGCCTTACAACCTGCCCTGTCAGAGGCAGCGCTTTCAGCTTACAGACCAGGTGGGTTAATCACTCTCATCATGCCATTAAGAAACAAAGGAATTTAAACCAGGCAAGGAACAACTCCTGATTGCTTCCCCTGCTCTGCCTCTCCAAGCAGAGGCACACGAAGAGCTACCACCTCACAAGAATTCATTCTAGTCGTGCAGCAGCTCCTGCAGAAGAACATCTCTGCCCTGAGTGGGAGGAGGGATGAGGTTCTGATTAGAAGCTGGGACTCCTTAAGGAACTAAGTTCTTCTCCCAAACGCATAGAGGTCAGATTTAAACAAGTTTCCTGGGGTGACAGAGGACCTTGAGGAGATGGATGCTTACTGTAAGGGTATGATCTTTGTGACCTATCACCTCATACCAAAACCAAGTGTTCCAGCAGGTAACTGCAGGCCAAATTTGGGGACTAAACAGGGACTAAATCAGGTGCGAGCCTTGCCCTCCTCCAGTGGTGTTTAATGCATTAACACCTCCTGTACCTCTAACGTACATACTCAGGGCCAGCCTTGTCTTACCCCCCAGGTCTTTCCTAGTCCTTGGATTAATCTAAATCAGGGGTTTGCAGACAGCCTGGTCCAGCTGTAGAGCATAAGAATTTGTATCAGAACTCCCCAACAGTCTGCTGGGAGGGCTGAGATTCATCCTGACACAAGGACCATAGAATTTTTAGCTCTTGGGGATCTAACGAGGTGGGACGGTGCCCAGACCTTGCACTGACTCTTGTTCATTTTCAGCTCCTTTCTATGAGAAATATAACGTTCCACATGCACTCTGACCACACACTCCTTGCCCTAGATCTTCAGATGGATCCCAAGGATTGATTCCTCTTGGAATCCCAGCACCAAAGCACGTTCCTCATCCTCAACCCCATGTGAGCCCCCTCCCTTGCTGCAGTATTGACCTGGTATCACAGCACTGGGGCACATTCTGCACTCTCTGCCTTCAGCACCACAAATATCTACATGGTTTTTCAACACTTTACAGTGAGCTCTACGAGTCCCTCCAAAACCAGTAGGGAATACAGGAACAATTAGGAAAAAATTAACCAATTGATATGAAACTTAAACTTGAGCCCATCGCAGCGTGAACATTTGAAAGGCACTGGCTGGGCCTGGACAGGCTGAGGTTTGTGTTTGCCCTTGGAGGTTGTAATTGTGGGGAAAAGGAGAGGGAGAAGGAAGCAGCAGAGGAGCGTTCCTCGCTGATTGGCCTCCGCGTTAATGAGTAACCCGTTCACAAGGGATTGAGGAAATGGTGTGAAATTTGAGTGACTCCGCAAATTGGCTTTTAACAAGCATTTAAATAAGATGAATTGGAGCACACACCTACCACCCATCTATCTTCTGAAAACAAAGTGGGGGCCCCAGCCTCGGATGGAGTTGAGTAAATAAAAAAAAGGGGAAAAAAAAAAAAAAGAGGATAAATAATTGGGCATCCACAGCAGGCACGGGAATGTCGCCTTAAAACCAGGGAAATCCCCCCGGATGATGTGTGCTCAGGAAAATGTCCCTTCTATCTTGTCTTGGGGACAGACAGTCACCAGAGCCAGGGGAAACCCAGAAAAACCCCCTCCTGCCTCAGAGCCTTTCTCTCCCTCCCCGGCTCCTACTGCTTTTCCTCTCGCTTCGATCAGACCCGCAGGATTTCACTTCCACTCATTGTCAGGATGGGTTAGGAGCTGTCTGAGGCCTGGGCTGCAGCAGGCTTCATTCTAAAAAGTCTGTCTCACTGAGGGGAGTTTGAATATTGCCCTTGGGAGCACAGCAGAAAGGTGTGTGCCTGCCCTCACGATGCACAGCGAGAGGGATGCCGTGGATGGAGACGTTGGTAAGTTCTTTACCATTTTTTTTTTCATCTCAGATACCAGTGAACTGGAAACAGTCATGTTTTCCTAATTGTACTGCCTCACAATCAGCAAGTACACCAGGTTAAATATTTACCGGTTATTGCTTTGTCTAAGGGAGAGGCCCTCAGCCTTCCCCTGCCCTGTCTTTTTAGTCTTGGAGCTGGAGAAAGTCCTTTAATGCTGGTGGTTTCCTTTAGCCCGAGAGCCTGCTGATTGCTGTCTTACCAGGCAAAGTTAGATCTGGCTAGTTTTGTCTAATACTGTCTGGTAATGCCGTCAATCGCATTGGCAAACGCCTTCGTCCTGAGAGAAATATGGAGAAAAAACAAAAAAAAAGCTTGCCTTTTTCAGAAGAATTGATGAAGTCAGATGTCTGAGATCTTACTCCAGTGCCCTGGTTCTGTGTCTGTCGTCTCAACACCCAAACAGGTCCTGGGATGCCTGAAGAGAGATGGGAAAAGAGGGTAAGTTCCAGGCCAATAAGGCAGAGGTGGGTCAAGAGAGGTTGTTTCAGATGAAGAGAATTCTCTGGGCAAACCCGGGCCCTTCAGCCCCCTGGGGCAGCTCCCAGTTTAAGCAGCTGCTTCTGTTTGGAAATTATTTGTTAAACGAGCACAATTCAGCAATCAGTCAGGGCCCCCTCTTACTGCATTGCATAGAATAAGGTCTGCTTTATTTTTACACTGAGAGAAAAAGTACTTTTTAAGGTATCTTATACAATAAAAGGGTTTGCAAAGCCCTCACTTCAGGAGATCCTCTGAGATGCAGTTGGTCAAATGACACAATGAGAAAGGTCCTCCCTGAGAAGGGCTCTGATTCCTCACTGGTGGCTACCAGCCCTGTCCTCCCCATACTGGGAAGCCACCAGAGCCTTGGCCAGTTGCTGGATTTCTTAATAGAGCCCCCCCCCCTCCACCCTGGGTTGTACAATGTACCAGGGGTGGGAGGGAGCACAGGACAGAACGTGTTCCCGACCTCAGCATCCCCTGAGCAGATAACACCCTTCTCCTCATCAATTCCCACTAAATTATCAGGAATTTCCCAGTGAGGAAATCTCCCTGCCCACAGCCGCTCCAGCTGGTGGAGATGGTATCTGTGTCCTGCTTGAGATGACTCACACTGACAAGTCTCACTTTGCAGGGCACACATGGTGCTCCTCTTCCTGCAACGGTGATTTTATGGAAAGGTGCTGCTTGTTTTGGTGTCTTGCAGCCTCTTATTGAGATGTTAATCTCGATTTTGTACTTTTCCCTGTGCTGTCCCTGAAGTCCAGCTGTTGGATCCCTTGTTTTCTTTCCTCTCTGTGCCCCTCCCTGCCCAACACTCACCACTGGGATTTCACAGAAGCCACAATCTCCCATTAGAAGCTTCACTGTTTCTATTCCCATCTCCATGAGATGCTCACCACCATGTTCAAGGGAGTTTTTGGAGTTACAATGTTTCCAGAAATGAAACAAATTTTGACCTTTCAGCAACACTTTACTAATTATCTTTCAAAGAAGGGAAAACATGAACTACATGCCTTTTACAGGTAAATTGGTAGTAAAAAGGATTCCCTGAGATGCTCTGTGCAGTCAGTTTTAGAAGGTATGTATTTAGAAGGTAGGTGTATATAAAGCATTCTCAGAGAAGGCAGAGAGATGAAGATCTGACTCTAGTCCCTAACACTGTGCCCAGGAGCTTCCAGCTCACTGTTACCAGCACCTTACTCTAATTATTTTGCTGAATAATCTGCTGTCCCTGTTTTTATCACTGGAATCCACCCGTGTAGATAGACACAAACATAAAGACTGTTTTCTTTGTCAAAGTAGGAAGAACAGGTTCACTAACTGCTATTCTATAGATATATTTTTATATCTTACATGCTTTTTAACGCGCTATTTCATTGCCTTAGAGCTTGTTAGTAATTTGAGGCATTTTAGCTGTATATTTAATAAAGGAGTTGAATCTCACCCCAGCTCTGAGTTGAATTTATTTTGAAGCAACACAGATTTCTGTGTGTTTAAGCCAAGGAAAGGCTATTCCTGATGCTGGAACGGCTCCTGTCTGAGACCAGGAACTGCTCCTGGGCCGAGGTCGGGATGGAGGATGCTCCTGGGAGGATGCTCTGCCCGTCGGGGTCTGGTGTGGGGGGACACAGCCCTGGCTCTGGGGGTGTCTGCTTCCCATGGACCAGACACAACCTACAACCAACTATTCCAAGGGGTTGTTCCTCTGAGAAGCTGAACGGGGGGGTTCAGCTGACGGGACACTCCCTTCGCCTTGCCCCGCTCATGAACTTCCTCCCAGCCACACGGGACTGAAACCACCACTTAACATTGAATATCCTTCATTTCTAAACAAAGAACCTGCCACTGGGCGTGTGGAGGTGGGTTGGGGAGGGGGGGGAAGGAATTTCTCTATAAGCTTCCACCAAAAAAAAGCCCTTTATCCAGAAAAAAATCATCCTTACACAAGTCTCTCACAGAATACAAGCATTAAACTCTTCCTCAACATATAAATATATACTTAATGTGACTTGTCCTGCTGAGCTGGAGTCTGGGACAAGCCAAGGAGGCTTTTGACTGGAATCCCCTTTTACAATCTTGGAAGAGACACAGATTCCACCTTCTCAAAGGGGGAGAGATCCTGAACCAACCCCCGGGGAAAGCAGCAGGAGGGAAATAAAGCAACATCTATTTCAGCAAAACCAGCATTTCCCCGTCTTTGCTCGATGGGATCACCCTGGGCAGGTCACCCCAACTCAGGGGCTGTAGCACAACCAGAGCAGCCCAGGCTCAGCCAGGGGAAACTGAGGCAACCCCTTTCCACCTGGTGTAATTAATTACACCTCATTTTGTTAATTGAGGACTTATTGTAAGAGCAAGGCGAGTAGGAACCTTCCAGCTACTTGTAGTATCTTCAGCAACAGTCAAAAGGCTCCAAGTAGAGCACCAAGTACTGTCCCTGGTTTCTAGGTACAGACACAGCTCCTTAATCCCTGCTTTCACGCTTGGTACCTCGTAGATATTCATTTTTTTTTGTAACAAAACTTTGTAAGCAAATAACTATATTGGGGGCAAAAGAAATTGGGCAAAGTTTCTTTTGGGTCTGCTTCCCTTTTGTTAATCTTAGACTTAAAACGCTTTGCTACTGAAAATTTTGAAAAGCAGCGACAAATACTGGCTTTAAAGTTGCGAAAAGGAAATTTTTTCAGCCTTATTTGTTCCTCCCAAACCCTGAAGCTCTTATTTCAACTTGCTGAGTGTTCTAAGGCAATGGCAAGTTAAGTAGCCTTTCAGCAGCCTACAGCTTGTGCTCTGGGGTATTAAAAAAAGTTTGGAGAACTTTTAAAGTTGCGTTACACTTTACATCCCAGTAGGTAAAATACGGGAGTACCTTCTACCCCAGGAGGCAGCAGCCCCTTACACCTCTGCATGATGAGGCACAGCCTCCAGCAGGGACTGTGTTTTTACCAAACTGCCCCCAAATACCCACCCTTCCCTTTGCCTCCCACAACCACACGAGTTATTACTGATGCTTCCTGCGAGGACAGGTCCCAGAATTGGCCTTGTTTGCTGTCACACAGCGATGTCACAGTCTGTGACACTGCACCCTGATCTCACAACCTCCCCTTCTCCCTCCCCGACTTCCCAGGTGACGGTGGCATTGCAATCCCATTGCTCTCTATCACCCACAGCTTAAAATTGGGAAAACTCAGGCACACACAGAAAATAACTTGTCCAGGCGGCTACAGGGAAAAATAACCAACAGACTTTGTTGTAGACTCCAAGTTTTCTGACTTACTTGGCTTTAAGTCACTAACATTAAAGTTTAACATACTGGCATAGCAATATAGGGGTTTAAAAAAAAAAGCTGAGCCCATCCTTTCCTCTCCTACAATTAACAATTTTAAAAACAAGCGAAAATAAAGCAGGGATTTCCAACAGGGAGCTGAGCAAAGACAAAGAAAAGGCATTTAGTTTTCCTTATATTTTGTAAAAATCAAAACCTTTCGGGTGAAAAACAGCTTAAACCCTTCTAAATACTTTAATAGTCATCGTGAAGCAATAAACTCCCTAAAACCACTTCATGTCACCTTGCAGCGTGATGAAAGCAGCATCAGCAGAAAGGGGTGTTCTCAGCACAGGATGGATGTTCCTCACAGGGGCAGAGGATCAGCCCGAGATGTAACAGGCTGTTCAGATACTTGGGTGGTAGGCAAGGAAAATATAATGCCTCTCCCTTCAAAAACTGCCTGGCAGAGGCTCTTTTCGTGTTCCTTTGTCAGTTTATTTTGGGCAAGGGAAGGTGGAGTCAGCTCCCAGGGCAGGAAATCCAACAGGCACCTCCTGGCACGACTGTTACAACCCAAACCCACTCCAGAACAAAGTTCAGGACGTTTAGACTTGAAACAATGAACACATAATTGGACCCTTTTACTCAATAAAAGGGGATTTAAGCATTAAAGAAGCTGCTTAATGAATAATAGACAGATCTATCAAACTATGTCCCTTTTTCAAGGCAACAGCATTTCTTTTTCCCCCCAAATATCATGAATTTGCTTTAAAAGTACCAAACTACCACATTCAGGCTGGAGCATCGGTGCTGGGGCAGGTACAGCCCAACCTCCTCAGCCCCTCCTGAGACCACCCTCGCTTTAAAACACTCTTATAAACACAGCTCTTAGGGGGGAGGTTGGAAGAACCAAGAGAATCTGATATTTGACAAAGATCCTGGTTTAATTTTGGTGTCCAAACGCTTGATAGACTGCATTAAACCCTCCGTCCCTCCAAGCAGGAGGCAAAGCCAGGGAGAGGCTCAGCAAACACCAGAGGAGAAACAAGCTCATTTGGGTTGCTAATTTTATTTGCATACCAAACACCACTTTAAACAAACCCATTCCTGTGTGTGAGCTTAACTCCTTAGTCACTATCTGCTCTTTGATGACTGGCTGTGAGCCTGCCTGCTCAATAAACCACACAGAACCAGAGAAAAAGCCACTGGATAAAGGGAAACCTGAAAGGAAACTGGGATGAGTTAAAAACACTCTCTGGGCTTCCTCACTTGTCTTTGGCCCTTATTGCCCTTAGAACAGGCCCGAAAATCAGGGCCATTTCAGAGCTGCTTGGGAAGAAAGGAGCTGCTTATAAATATACTTCAAAAAACAGCAAGAATAGGAGAAGTCTGAGCTAAATGTGGTTGCACAAAGTGCATTAGACACAGCCTACATTTAATTCTTTTTTCACGTGGCTTTCTCCCACAGCTGCCACTTAGAAGTTTCAGGCATGACCATGGTGGGACTGAGGCCTCCCATTCCCTGCTGCATCCCATTTTCCTGCCCTTTGTCTGGATAGGGGGGCACGGTGGAGGTGGGGTGGGGTTTGTTTGGGTTTTTTGTTTCAATATTACACTATCTTGGCAGCTAAATAAATAGTAAGAGATTTACTCCCCCTTTTTCTTCCCAGCCTCATGTTTCCTTGGCCACCACACTTTGCTGCCTCCTTACTCCTCTGAGAGCCATCACCCTCATCCCATGGCTCCCCTCCCTCATCCAGAGTCCCTCCCCATCTCTCCTGGAGCCCCTTGAGGGACTGGAAGGGGCTCCAAGGTCTCCCCAGAGCCTTCTCTTCTCCAGGCTGAACCCCCCCAACTCTCTCAGCCCCCCCTCACAGCAGAGGGGCTCCAACCCTCCCAGCATCTCCGGGGCCTCCTCTGGACCCACTAGCAGATAAGACTGGTTTAAGACAGACATGTTTCTTACCAGGAAGCTCCTCAGGACCATGCTGGAGTAGCTGCTGGTCAGGTTCTGAGCCAGGTGACTCCCACTACAAATCACTGGGGCAGCAAGTCCCTTCAGCTGTGCTCCACAGGGCTCCCACCACCTGGAGCCTGTTCTCTGACATACTGTTACTCAGCTGCTTCAACTCACAGGTCCTATGGTCAAACCACTGCTGAGTCCAGAAAAAATTACTTTTTTTTTTTTTGCCAATAAATGCTATAGGTTCAATTTGAGAGGTCAACTGTGATTCTAACCATACGTATGTGAAGAGTTTTACCCATTTCTCTGTACTGGGAGGTGTGCCTCCCTGCAGAAACACTGCACAAGCAGCAGTGGAAACACAAGGCAGAGTTAATCATTCTGTTAGTACTGGAAGAGCTGATCCTGGTGAGGCCATTCAAGGCCAGAGCCACAACCGTCAGACACTCGGTGACACCCAACCAGCCCTTCAGGGCGTTGCCATAAACTTGATAAATCAAAGACAAGTTCATCTGTCATCGAGCTACGTGGTTACTCACAGCAAGCTGTGCCTTTCCAGTAAGGAAGTATTTGGTGCTGATGGAGCCAGAAGCCACCTCTGCCTGTAAAAAGCCACCAGAACACTGAATATTCTTTAAAAAGAGAATTTACAGGCTGCATCTGCACGTGGCTCAGGAATGTACAGCCATTTCCTAAGTGAGCAGTCCACGTCTATTCCAGGTGGATGTTGCCAAAATAGCCTTTTGTTGGTATTTAGTGACCAGGGTGAAGTGAGGGTCTCTCCATTTCTGCTACAAGGAGTGGAACTGGTAGATGATAATTAAGTATCTCAAAAGAAAAGCCACGCTCTGGAGCACTACCAGGGAATCCCTCCTCATCTGAAGCCATAGGGGGATAATGCAAACACTTGGCTACGCCGAATAAATGGTTAATTTCAGCAGGTTGCTCTCCATAGTGATAAAATAAAATAAAAATAGTGAGCAGCAGGGCTCCGTGGGACGGTCTCTGCAGTTTATGCAAAACATGATTGACAACAGGCATGAGAATTTGGCCCCACCGGGCTCGGTGAAGCAACCGCGCGTCTCAGCGGCGGCAGATTCTGCCAGTAACTCACAGGAACAACTGGGGCCCTGTCGGGGCTCGAGCAGAGAGAAGTAACCAGAGCAACAGGAACCCCACAGCAGCCTGACTGCATCACACTGGAACAGTGGCCATAGTTTGCCCTTAGACTACCAGAATTTAATCAGAAATCGATTTCTGAGGGCATCTGGGCATCCCTCTCACCTTCCTCAGGAGGAGACGGCGGGCCATGGGTGGAGCGTGACTTTATGCTTCGCTGGCATCACTTCAGAGTCCTGGAGGCATCCCAGAGACAGGCCCAGGCTTGAGCAGCTGCGGGTTCTGCAACGAACCAAAGGCATTTTTGAGAGAGGACACACACACACACGTCGAGTGAGCCCGACTGGTCCAGCCAGGAGAAAGCTGTGCAGTCTCAGGAGAAGTCCCGCCAAACCATGGTTTGTACTTAGAAAGCTCTTGAGAGTCTCCCAGAGTTGTATATGAAATAAAACGCCTGAAGGAAATACCACAGTAAATAAAAGAAGAGTGAAACTCACCACAGGAGGCAAAGGTTTGGAGCTCAGCATTAACACGGATGGCTTTGGGTCTGTTGGCCTCATCCCCCCAGCCTGGCTCTCCAGGGACGGTCACTGCAGTTATTCCAGCTCCACGGGGAGGCAGAGGGTGCAGACAGGACCCAGGAATTCACAGCTGGCTTTTTTTTAAAGAGCCGAGGCAGCAAAGTGCCCAAATCAAACTGGAATTCTATGGGATTTGGGTGCTCAACACCCCCCAACCTTTGAAAATGCCACAAATTATTTGAGAGGCTCACTACCCTCTGGCAGTGAATCAGCCCAGGTGGCTGTTTCATCATGGCTTCGTTCCTTAACGAAATGGAATCTCACCCTTGTCCTTCCTTGGAGTTTGACCATCCCCATGGAGTGACCAGAGCATTCAAAGGCAAAAGGGGGGCACTTAGAATAGCACGGTCACCCTTTGGGCAGCAACAGGCAAGAGCGACCCCTTGGCAGGGCTTCATCTTTGAAAAAAAAACACAAAACAAACCTTTTTTTTTCACTCACAACTCCTACTCCTGCTCACGTCCATCTCCAATTTCCTACAGGTTCTGGAAGTCAGCTGTGCAGGGATGAAACGGGACCAGGGAAGCCACGTGTGACTGGTTCTCCTGGGAATAAAATCAGAATTTGGCACTTATGCTTTACACTGCTTCTGGTTTAATAAATTAAATATATATTTTTTTAACATATATATGTTATTTTATGTACTAAAGGCAGTGGTTAGAACATACACACAGTGACATGACCATCTGAGGGGTAGGGCAGGTGGCTCCCACATACTGAGAGCTGCTGGGTCTGGACCTGGGTGCTGTGAAACCCGAGCAGAGGGAAGGAGCTCGTACCAGGGCTGTTTGCTTTTCTTCTTTCTCCCCTTTCTCTTTCCCAGTGCCACACCTCGGAGGGTGGGTGGGATTTGGCTGGAGCTGGGATGGCCGCCTGCACGGAACGATACTCTGGGGACTGGCTGCTCCTCGAGCTGCAGCTCCAAATCTGAACAAGGCAGAGGAACAAAACATCAGAACGGGTTCAAAAACAAAGCAGCAAAACCAAATGTCGCGGTTTTGGGCACCAAAGCAACAGAGGCAGGTGAAAAGGGAGAGAAAGGGAGGGCATTCTCGAGGAAATATTTCCAGTTCCCTCAAAATACTGACACAAAGCCAGATGAAACCCTTGGAAGTTTTCCACAGACTTCACAGGACTTCAGGCCAAATTCCTTTTTCCATGATTGACAGAGTCTCTTCCCTCTCACAACTCAGGCTCCCGCGGAGGGATGAGCTCCCATCTTTCTGCTGATCTCAAGCAGGACTGGGGGTGCTCAGCAACACTGGAAGCCTGTCCTGTCTCTTCCCTCTCACAACTCAGGCTCCCGCGGAGGGATGAGCTCCCATCTTTCTGCTGATCTCAAGCAGGACTGGGGGTGCTCAGCAACACTGAAAAAAAGGTCCTGTTATAAGAAATCAGTTTGGTGAAATCACTGTGCAGAGAGTTCACCTATTGATGTAGGTGCAAACTGGGTTTGTCTTCTCCTCCCTCCACGGCTTTCTTTCAGAATTTGGACTTAATTAGCCTGTGGCTCTGTGAGAGCTGGGGCTGATAAGTGTCTCTGGGGAAGCTGATGCCCATCCCACTGCTTCCCATCACTTTCCCTGAAATAAAACCTACACATGACCCAGATTCTGGGTGGGGACACAACCAGAGGCCCAGCTACGCATTGTTTAATAAACATACCAAAGCCATTTATCATTACTCATTATTGTTAAAGTCCACAACATGTAAATAGTGGGGTTTTTCCATCCTGCAGGTGAGATTCCCTGTCTCTCACAGCCGCTTTCCTGCAGAGCCAAGGGGAGATGGTGTTTTCTGGTCCCTCAGCCCTGCTAAACATGCAGAAAAAATACCTGTCCGTGGGGGTGTGTGGTCCTTCCAGCTGCCTCCATGTGGTGGGTTTCTCCCTCCCTCCCTGAGGAAGCACTTTCCTTCAAAATTCCGGCTCCTGCTGGAAAAAAGGCAATGCCAAGTTAGGAAAACAAAACCCTGCACTGGAATTGACCTTGTCCCAGCTCCAGAGGCACTTTGGGAATTATTCCAGGAGGGGCAGGCAGCCTCCAAACATGATTAAAACATTGTTCTCCGAGAGATTGTGCTGTTCTCACCCCTGGGTTCACCACGGAAAAGGGCACTCGGGGCACAGGGGCCACCAGCACATGAGTCACTCCTGAGAAATCTCTGACTGGTGGAGATGGTGGAGATAGGGCCACTCTCCCACCCTCACCACCCTCACCTCGTGGTCACACCAATCCCAGCCCCCAGCACTGGGTTGGGCTGGAATAGTGCTCCTCGCCTCAACACCAGGATGAGCAGCACCAAGACCCACTAAGGCCTCCCTCATAAATCACTGAAAAGTAGTTTTCTGTCCTCAAATTGCATCTATTTCTAGAGACAAGCACCAAAAAGCACAGTATTCCTGCAGCGTAGCTGAGATTGTTTTCCTCAGCAAGCCAATAGCAGCAGGTGTTTCTGCAGGTCTCTTCCCCCCACAGCACCCCCCCTTTGGGACACCAAGCCATTAGGTGGTTACAAAACCTGAGGAAAATTCAGACCCTTGGAGAGCTGCTGCCTTTGCCACCCGCAGCATCGTTGGCACGTGACAGGAGCTGGTGATTCCCTTGTTTTCCAGGCTGTGGAACAGCAGGGCTCAGTTTCTTGCTTCCAGGTTCTGCATAAGTAACGATGTAGAACACTTATTTTTTCAAAAGGAATCTTCTGTGGTTTAATATTTGGATTTTCCTAGGTTTTTTTTTCATGCAGCACTCCTCGAATCTTCTGTGGTTTAATATTTGGATTTTCACTAAGTTTTTTTTTTCATGCAGCGCTCCTTGCTTTTGTAGCTTGGATTGCTTGAGAACCTTGAAAAAGAATTATAACCTTATTATTGCATCTTCTCTAGTGGAAATACATTTCTTATATAAATCTTGACATATATTTTACAGCTTGTTATGCTTACATTTCGTATGGATCCCATGAGACTTTCTGCAGAAAGAACCACAAATGGGCCTTTCACATCAAAACATTCTAACTTTATACACTAAAACAACAGACCAAAGGCAGCACTGTCTGATTCCCAGAAGGGATGACTCGAGAGTTGCTCGTAGACATAATCAAACCACAGAAACTCTCTGACAGAAGAACTTACCTTGAATTAAACACTGTGTTGGCAGTGCATATTCTTTTCTATTGCATGTTCTTTTCTGAGAATGGTTAGAGTTGGAAGGGACCTTAAAGACCATCGAGTCCCACCCCCTGCCCTGGGCAGGGACACCTCCCACCAGACCAGGTTGCTCCAAGCCCCCTCCAACCTGGCCTTGAACCCCTCCAGGGATGGGGCAGCCACAGCTTCTCTGGGCAACCTGGGCCAGGCTCTCACCACCCTCACAGCAAAGAATTTCTTTCTAGTATTTAATCTAAATCTCCCCACTTTCAGTTTAAAACCATTACCCCTCATCCTATCACTCCACTCCCTGACAAAGAGTCCCTCCCCAGCTCTCCTGTAGGTTCCCTTCAGATATTGAAGGGGCTCTAAGGTCTCCCCAGAGCCTTCTCTTCTCCAGGCTGACCAACCCCAGCTCTCTCAGCCTGTCCTCACAGCAGAGGTGCTCCTCCCTCTGACCATTTTCAAGGACCTCCACTGGACCCCTTCCAACAGGGCCATGTCCTTGATAGGCAATAAGATGATAAGGATCACACACAAATGTCTTTGTCGTTTCTTACTCTAATGACTTTTAAACCTATTGGTCAAGCTCTACAAAACGCAGTTTTTAGAGGCCTCCTACGTTCATGCAGGTCTCATGGGTAGAAGAGGGAGAGGTGGTGGCTTCTCCTTCCCCCTCCCTGCCAAAGGAAAACCTCCAGAATTCTTCGAAGGACGTGCTTAGCACTGGGGATTCAAATGGAACAGGGTGGGAAAATAGGTGTTCAAATAAAATTGAGCTCAAAACACAGGGCAAACACATAGTTCAGTCTTCTCTGGGAATCCTCTGAGGGAATTCTCACTTCCCTGCACGCAGAGGAAAAATAAGCAGCACAAATGGACGTCTGAGGTGAAGGAAATGTCTCCTTTCACTCTGGAACTGTCAGCCTCTCCCCTTCTCCAACAATGAGGCAATATTTCCTAGAGGGTGTAACGTTTGCTGAAGGTATTTGCGGTGCCAGGAGGTTGCAACAGGGCCGTGTCCTCCCACTCCAGGCTGTTCCCTGTGTGACCAGAGGGACTGGGTTGGTTGGGCGGGTTGGTTGGGAGAGGTAATCCAGGAAGGCTGGAGGTAAGGCAAGGACAGGATCCCTCCTGGAGCTGATCCCAGGCATTGTGCACCCACTGGGAAACAGGGAGAAGGTTCCTGAAGGTCGCCGTGACCGCCGGGGAGCAGCGCCAGGGTATTCACACCACCTTGGCACGGCCACCTTGGAGGACTCGGGGCCAACCCAGAGAGAGGTTGAACAGAAGCCAAGTTCCACCTTCCATCAGCTTTTCTCACCCCTTTTGGTTGGGGCGGGGGAGGAATTACCACGCAAGAAAACACAGGTTTGCTGCTGGGTTTTCATTCTTCCTCCCTTGTTGTTTTAATTGCGACCCCCCTGGAAGGGGATCTCTCTCCTCATGGAGCAGGTTTCAGCATCCCCGGTGCTGGCTGATGCGGCCCAAGTTTTCTGGGTAGGTCAATAATTCAACTGTTGTGTTTCCAGTTGGAAGCATCAAAGCCCAACAGTAAATGCAGACCTTTCCAAGCTTTATCTTCTCACGTCAGCCCTGGAGATGACCTGCTCTTTGCAAGTATCCAGCTGAGGTCACAAAAAAACCCCACTTTATTTTTTCCTCCTGCATCTGAAGGACAGAAAAAGAGAGAGAGAGAGGAATTTAAGTCTGCATAAATAGGCCTTTCTATCTTTAGATTTTTGACTGAGGCTTCATAGGTGTCAAAATCCTTTATTCTAACTAGTTTCCCTTCCCTTCCCACAATTAATCCCTGGTTATTGTAGGCTCAGCTCACCAGTAGCTGCAGCTTAGAGACACAACAAAACTATTCAACAGATTTGATAACCAATTATAGGCACTTTTCTAAGAGAAATCTCTGTATTTGGCAGTTATCTCACACTATCATTAGCTTACTCCCCCTTTTAAAAATATGTTTGACTTTACATCTTTAATCTAAATCCATGCCTTTTTGTATCAGTGTGAGCTGTGTTTTGACAGTGTCACCATTGCATTTTTGAATGCTATAGGTGAGTCTGCAGGTGTGCTTTTGCTCATACCTGGCAATTTTCACAGAAACACTCTGATCATTGCTCCTCAGGGTGCTTTGGGCCATCTCTGAGCTCACAGACCAGATTCTGTCCAGATAGAGCTGAACCAGGGAAGGGACTGGCCCTGTCCCACCAGAAACAGAGGGCACTGACCATCTGGTGTCCACGGGGCACACGTCATGGAAAAGGTGTCCCCCCTCTCTCTACAGATCCACTCCTACTGCAGGGATGGGTTTGCTGGTGCAGAAGTATGGAGTAGCTTTGGTGGGCTCTTGGGGGCTGCTGCAGCAGCCTACTGCAGGGATGGGTTTGCTGGTGCAGACCTCACCGTGGCACAGAGTAGCTTTGGTGGGCTCTGCCTTCAGCCTCCGAGCTGATCTTCAGGACATTGCAGAAGGATTTGCCCCTGTTGAGTAAAGAAACAGAAGGACTTACGAGGATTAAGGACAGTAATTTTGCCCTCTTACTAGTTTTCACAATGTAATTATAGATGCCCCATCCCTGGAGGTGTTCAAAGCCAGGTTTGACAGGGCTTTAAGCAACCCGGGCTAGTGGGAGGTGTCTAATGTGGGTGGAACTGGATGGTCTTTAAGGTCCCTTCCCACCCAGACCATTTTATGATTAATTTGAGAAATTTAACAGCACGGACCAGCTCTGCTTCTCAGCATTAACAAAGCCCAACAAAGTACTGTGCTGTGCAACCTCTGCTCAGAAAGGAGAGCTACATTTTAGACTGAGTATATATTTTCATGCCTTTAACCTGTTGGTGATCGTGCACCGGAGAGAATGAAATGGGACTTTCTGGTTTGCTATTCAGAGCAAGTGGGAAGGGTGTCTCCAGCAGAGGTGAAGCCTGACCTTGAGAAGACTTGAGGAAAGCCACAGGAGGGTGAGCAAAAACGTGCTGGTGAGCAGACACTTGGAGAAACAAACTGGTTTCCCTGTTTTTCTCTTACACAATTCCACTCTGATCCACACAGGCTTGTTTGCTCAGCAGCCCCCCCGTAACGCTGCCACCGGACAGCTTTATCTGGAAGAGCACATGTTTGTGGAAATCCCATTGCATTTTCAACATCAGAACCCCCTGTGTGATCGCCCACAGTAGCCAGGCAGCAGTTGCCAGGGGATGAGCCTGTGTTTAGAGCCTTCCTGAGCCTCCCAGACAGCCACAAGGCGATCTCCATAGATACCCAGCAGAAGCAGGCTGGGTTTCTGAGCCTCTGCTCGCTGTTGGGAATCCATCCTGCTTTGGTCAATGGAATAAGGCAGCCTGTGCTCTCCCAGAGCCCAAACCTGCTCCATCACGGGATGCTCTGTTCCTTTAGGAGCTGATTATGGTCTGACTAGAAGCCAAGTGCAAGTTCTCCGAGCTGAAGGCAGGGCAGGGAGCAGTTAAACTCTGCCAAAGTATTTAGAAACCGCCGAGCAAAGGTTAGAATTTCCTTTTCTTTTTCTTTTTGTTTTAGCCCTTGGAAGAATGGGCTAAAAGGCAAGAAGTTGTGGTTGTACAGAATGTCTCTAATCTCTGAGAAGATACAGTACAGACTGATTTATCAGTAAGATGCTGAAGTCATTTTGTGTCATCTAATGACAGCAGTGCCGACAAAAGCTAACCAGCTATTTGCATCTACATTATGATATTTGGAGTGAATGTCACAAGCTCCAAACGTGGCTCAGCAAATCCTCAACACCTCTTCTCTGAGGTCTCATCAGATCACCAAAACTGGCCAACTGCTGTCATCAGAGACACTTTGGTAAAAACACTGCGCCGTTTCGTTGAGTTGTTGCAGAACAACTCCCTCTCCAGACAAACAAGAGGATGCCTAAAATGCTGTTCTTTATATCAAAGGCTTTACATAAATTCTGGACAGGGCAGCACCATCGCTTTACTAACACAGCGATCGCTGTTTGTATTAGTACCTGTCATTAAGATGGTGCTACAGAGATGTCCATCGTTAAACAGACAGACATAAGGAAGAGGCTCCTCACTTACTGCAGACTTCCCCTTCTGCTGTCTTAAAATCCTTGTGCTTTGCCAGGAGAGTGCATAAAGTAACTTCCACACAACGTGGTATCTGGATGCAAAGGCACACAGAAGCTGCGAGGCCACTGGGTGCATTAATTCCTCAGGAGCAGGGATTTGCTCGGCTCGAGTCCATCGGCCTCACAGGGCAGTGATGTGTAAGTGCTCAACAACATGAGAAGAGAAACCTCTGAGAAGAATTTATCCCAAAATGAAGGTACGGGAGAGGCTGGGATGAGAAGCAAACAGCAGAAGGCCTGCAGAATGCAAGAGCTGCTTTTGCCTGAGAGGAAGATTCCTGCTTTTGATGTCTGGCATCACAGCAGGGTGAAAGAGGAACACAAGCCTAAGCAATCTCCTCAGCATGATGAGGATTTCTTCACGTGTGTGTTCCAATTGCATTCTTGAGCCTCACTCCTTCCCTGACCTGTGTGTTTGGAGTGCAGGAGAAAGCACTGCAAAATTCCTTCCTGCAACCAGACTAGCAAATGCAAACCCACCTGGCCATAAACCACCACGTAGGACTCCTGTTCCCCATCCCCAAGTTCCCTCCACCCAGAGCAGCCTTCGCTCCGGGCGCTGCACGTACCCGTGACCTCAGCCTAAGTCCAACAAATCCCCACTAAAAGCTCTTGGGAGTTCTTTCCCTCACAGGATGCCTCCCGGTGTTGGGGCGAGGGTGCTGGTAGAGGAACAGCTTCTTATTCCCTGTCACTCTTCAGGGATCATCTTCATCTCACAGTCTGGCAAAGGCCGCCTGCCAGGCTCTTTTGGGTGGCAGCTGCTGTCCATGATGCCAAGCCCCACTCCTTACCTCCTATCGGAGTCTCAAAGACCCTTTTTTCCTCTAATTCCCCTTGTGGCTTTGCCAAACTGAGGTTTAAAGGCAGGTGGGTTCCACGACACCCACCCCTCTCTAAACCTCAGGGGTTTTTGAGGCAGCTTAAGATGTCACTTCATGGGAAACCACGGGGGTCTCTGGCCTCCAACTGAAAATAAAACTCCACGTGAGCAAACAGAGTTGAACCATCAGGCTTTGACTGGACAACAAAACCAGAACTCCAGTCCCACCCAGTGCAATTACACAATTATTACTCAGATTTGCAGATCAGGGAGCTGGCACCGTGATGTTTGGGACACGGCCACAGCCACGGGCCATCAGTGACACAGTCAATCAGTGACACTGACACCCTTGTCTACCTGCCCTGCCCACCCACGCCAACAAATCACCTGGGGGAGGACAGTGACATGGGAAATAGGCTTTAAATATATCTCACTGTGGACTCAGTAGCTCAGTATTACAATTCAGCTTATTGCATTACATCTTCCTACATAAGAATACTTAGAGGAACCAGCACTTTTGCATTTGTCTTTCTTATGGACTCCATTTATTTGCTGTTCTTAGACTATTTGTTACTTTTGTTTGTAAACAAAAGTAGCAAATACATATTTCCCTCTCTAATTCTAGCTGATGTTTCAGGGGCCCTATGCCTCCTAAGGTGAGCATCCTTACTATAAAATAGTTGCAGCCTTGAACAAGTCCTTTTTTACAACTGACTATTCCAAGCATGAACCTTGCTAAAAATATTCTGCCTGCCTCACGTCCAACAACTATCTGGGGTTATGGTTTCTGTCTCCAGACAGAATATCTCATTTGTTGTTTCCAAATCCATTGTGAAGACAAAAAATTAGTCTGAGCTTCCAAAATGAGTCTGCTGAAAAGCAGCCTGTCTTTTATCCCAAGGCTGAACAACTGGAGCCTGAGGATGCCATAGAAAAGAATACCAGATAAATCTGAAAGCAGCTCTTGGATCCGAAAACAACTCCATCAAGACTTAGGAAAAGCACCCAGCTCCTTAGAGAACATTTACAAGGAAACCCAAGACCTACATCGAGGTGTTATCGATGGGAAGGAAGTGGAAAGAGCACAAAGATTAGACCCAAAAGCACTCAGATCCCCAGCACAGTCACCAACCAGCTTATCACGAGAGACCACCCAGGAGCAGCTGTAGATGGAAAGCAGAGCCTGTGTGTTCCCAGCTAAACACTGAACTCAAAATAAAGATTAAAAAAAAAATGAAAAAGTGCACAAAGATTAGACCCAAAAGCACCCAGATCCCCAGCACAGTCACCAACCAGCTTATCACGAGAGACCACCCAGGAGCAGCTGTAGATGGAAAGCAGAGCCTGTGTGTTCCCAGCTAAACACTGAACTCAAAATAAAGATTCCAAAAAAATGAAGAAACTGCAGAAAACGGTGAAAAACGGCATCTACAATCAACAGAGGAAATGATGATGAAGAGAAAAATGCATCTTACACTTTCTCAGATCACTCCTGGCTCTGGCAAAGCGGCTGACGATGGTCTCCCCTTTTGCAGGCTCGGCTGCGATGGCCTTTGTGCCAACCAGGAGGAAAAAGAACACCAAATCCAGTAAGAGAGGAAGCAACCAACGACTGGCTGGATCCTCATCAGCTGCCAGAGGTGAATCTTGTGTCCTTGCTTTTTAGCTATTCATTGTGCCAGGTCCCAGGATCAGGTTCTCAGTTGATGCCAGTATCAAGGGAATTTTATCTTCTTATTCTATCCAAAGTGCTGACAGAAATTACAGACATATTGCATGTGATTTACACCCTTTTCATTTAAACCCTGTGAAAATACCAGACCACCCTTTTGCTTCTAAAATAATCCAAGGCAGAAATTATTGATACTGGCTGACAAATCGCTGGTGGAATTAAAATATTTTACACTAACATCTTAAGTGTTTTGTTGAAGACACGAAGAAAAACACAAGCAGTTTCTCTGAAAAGAAACCATTACATTTTTATGGAAGAGATAATTTGGCTGAAATGCCACTGGTATTTCGATGACAAAACCTACAGTATTATTTTTCTGATGTAGGCAGCGTTGAACTCAGCTGTGTGAATTGGCAGTAAAAAATACATTCATTTGTTGCAAATGAAAACCTTTTTAATACGGAGGCAACCTTTAGGGCAACGCTTGTCTTTAGAAAGATGATTAGATCGTTTCGCTTTCCTAAATGAAAATGTAAACTCTGGATTCTAGAGAAATCAGTCAGCTACTGTGCTGTTAAACCTTCCTTGACATGGAAAAGGGGGAAAAACAAGTTCTGTGTTTAAGCTCTGAGGTTTTTTTTTCCCTTTTGGTAGCAAATGAGACAAAGCAGACTGCATCCTCCCCGCCGGTGTGTTTATCGCCGGGCGCGCTGAAAGCAGAGCTGAGATTTGAGAGGAGCTTCTGCCACAGACACCACCAACACACCAGTCCTGAAGAAATTAATGAGCCAGATTCCAAATTGTCTCCAGCAATGTCATTTGCTGCCTGCCCCCGGTGTGAAGCCCATCTCTGTGCGGGCTCCCTGGAAGGGAATCAGCCTGTTTAATGTCACGCTGCTAGTTAAGTGAGGAGTTAGAAGCCCGTTTCCCCAGGGGCTTTTCCCCCCCCCCCACTACCTCCACAAGAGAAAGATCACAGGACAAGGTAGAGCTGAGTTTTCAGAGGCACAAACAGCCTCTGAAATATCCCCTCCTCGCTGCCAAGCCGCCCTCCCTGCTCTTTCCCAAGAGCTCAAGTCCCAACAAGCATCTAATCCCACCGCTGATAAACAAGTGAAAAGGCCCTCGCCCGAAATTAATGCAATCAGGCAACAGGAATAACCCCCCCCCACATCCCTCTTTCTCCTTAGCCACCTAAGGATGCAAAACACACAAAATGAAGGCTGAGGGGGACTCATGTTTAAATAATACATGTCGAAAGATTCAGTGAAATGAAGGTTCGACTTTAATACTGGGAGATTCCATAATTAGACAGAAAAGAAGATAAAAGGCTCCCACCCCCTGGGTCTCTGTATAAAGATTAGAGAGGGAGAGACAAGTCTGTGTTCAGACTAATGGAAGAATAACCTTACCAGCACTTCAATCATTGCAGGGTATTTCACTTGTCCATGTCTCGGGATAAATGGGACTGTTTAAAATGAGTTAATTTCTTAGCAATCCAGGCACGGAGGGAGGCGATAAAAGAGCCAAAAGCTCTGGCAGGAGGTACAAGTGAGCAATTAAATGTTAAAAATAGGTAAATAAATATTTACATTCCCATATCAAAGAGTGAGAAGAACAGCAGTGTAACACCCTGTGCTTAGAGATCAGCCCCCCTCGAGGGGAGATACCGGTAGCTGGAGGGGTGGCACCGCTTTGCGGTACAACCTGTCCATAAAAAGCACTGGTTCTAGGAAACAGATGAGCTGTGTCACACTTTTCTGAGCCTCTTTCAATTTGCCTGACACTTATGCATAAAGCATTAACCCTGTTCTTGGAGCTGCTTGCTGTTTGGTCCAAAAAATTTGGCTGAGTCGCCGACGACAGTCTCTTCTGGAGGAAGACAGAGTTATGTTTTTGGTGCGGCGATGGCAAAATGAGATGGTGCCCAAGGAGCCAGGCACAGCTCTCTGCTGGAGCCTCCTCCCCATTGCAACCCTCCCATCATCCAGCCAGGAGCGAGCACAGCCTCAGCCCCACAGAACCAGTCATGGGCAGCTGGAAAATTCACTCTGGAAAAAGCTCATTTTGCTCATTTCGCTGGGTTACAGGACGTTGCCGAGGCAGCGCTCTCCTTCATGGATGCTGTGCCCCGGCTTGTTCCAACTGGTTGTTTAGTATGAGGTTTTTTGGGGTTTGTTTTGGTTTTGATTTAAGGAGGAAATTCAAGGCAGGAGTCCAGGGATTAGCACTGATAATGCTGCAGTTTCTACCAAGGCTCAGGCTTTTGCTGTTAGAATCCTTCGGTGCCAAGAAGTAGTTGGAGCAGAAACGTAAAGCGAGTCCCGCCTCAAAGGGTTTGCAACGGGTTTCCTTTATTCCAAAGCAAATGGAGCCAGGTGTGGGAGCCTGCTGGGAACTCCAGTAACCCCAGGCACCCAGTTCACCCTGGCCTGCAGCTGTGTCCATAGGTGGAGCCCAGCGAAGACATAAAACAAGAGCTCATAAAATGAGAGATAACAACATCCAATAGCTTTGCTCCACTTCAGGCAAAAGAGTTTTGTCATTGAGATGGAAGTTTTTACTCACTGTAACAAATAACGATAAAAGAACAGTCCAAAGAGTAGATAAACTCCAGTCTTGTCATCTGCTCCCTTCCTGCTCCCTCCTTCCCTGGCACTGCCTCATCCCAGTGGGAGCAGAACTAGGACAGAGAGGACTTTTTTGTCTATTCACAGGCTTCACTGTTCCCAAAAGTTCTGTGTGTAGCCAAGTTGAAGAGAAACCAGAGGGGTAGTTTCTCAGCCCCTGGAAATATTAAGCTTTGTATGTTTTCCATAGGTTTGGAGCCAGTGATTTGGGTATCACTATCCCAAATGCTAGTTAATTAACTATTATTGAGCACTTAATACCTGCTACCAGGTTACATTAGCAATAATTTCTGAGCTGTTTTATGACAATGCCCCTAGTGATGGCTATAAAATCAACTGAAGTGGTCCCTTACCTTGCAGTATTTTCTTCTGTAACACCTTGCTTTCTAGATGTGGGCTTCATGGAGAAGATCCCAGACCATCTGAAGTGTCTCAATCTCCAATTTTGCAGATACTTCTACCAATTCTGAAGCGGAGACTGACAAAGCCAAGCCTAATGAGAATAGAACAGAGAGTCAGACGTGCCCTCAAGAAAAACAGCCAGAAAAAGAGATACCAAAAGCACCATTGGGACCAGGACCATATTTTTATATCAGTGGATCTAATGGAGCAGGGCTGTAAGTAGGTCCTTTTCCCAGACTCGTATGACCATACGTGAACTCATGCAGTGTTATCCATTGGCCTCAAATAATTTTCCTCTAATTTGCTGTCTTTTTGGAGTGGTGCACCTGGGGAACCACTTAAAGGTAATTCAAATAGAAAATATCCACTGGAAGGCCACCTGTGGTAAAGTAACTAAATACTGTACCTTTGCAAAGAAATGAAATATTTCTATTTGTTTAATGAAAGTTTCTCTGTTGGGGCTGTTCAGAAATCACTCAGCTACGCCACGGAGCAAATCTGGTAGCACCATCACCAGAGCTGGGAGCCACTGTTGCTGATCAACATTCTGTTGTGCTAAGTGTTGTAAAACAAGTGAAAAATAGGAAGAGATTTGTGCCCAGGAAAAGCTGTCAGATCAGAAGTTCCTTTCTGAGTTCTTTCCAGCGTGTCAGCATTCTTCTCCAGCTGCTGTCACCACAAGCTCTGCTGCAAACAGCACTTCCCTTGCTATCTTTCCATAGTTTTGTCTACAAACACCTTTTTCTATTACTACTTGCCATCTCTCCCTAAACTCCTCAGCGAAGAGGCTCCTCATTAAGACTGGGCCCTCAACATTTCTATTCCATGGGTACCAGTTGCATCCTAATTGGAAAAACCCTGCTTTCAGCAGGTTTCAGAGCTGCTGCTGAATCACAAGGTTCTTACCATCCTCAGTTACTCCCCCGACCCTCTCAAGTTCAGACCAGCAGATCCACTATGCTGCTGAATCACAAGGTTCTTACCATCCTTACTCCCCCGACCCACTCAAGTTCAGACCAGGAGATCCACTGGTAGCCATTCTAATTAATGCTTCCCAATTTATCCCCCACCCAGGGGATTCCGGGTGTGTTAGGTCAGGCTCCCAGAGAAAATTATTAGGAGTTCAAGGGATTTGAGCTAACGAAGTATTTGCTAATAGATGGGAGGCTACTTTGCTGTTTTGTTTTCCCTGTGCAGTGTGAGCATCTATTGCCAGAGCAGAGGCTGGCAGCGTATCTATGACAACAGAAGAGAGGATTATGCACTGAAATGGTGTGAAATCAAGTGCCGAGAGACCTATTACCATTTCAAAGAAGGTAGAGGTGCCTGTGGGCCTTGGGTGGGAGAGGGCAGTGGGAAAAAAACTTGAGAACACTGGACTTGTGACTCCCAGGACGGAGGAGGTCACCTGGGGGGAGGAGAAACAGGTAACCTCAACTTCTCAGGAGGCCTCAGAGGGGGCATCAGAGCTGGATTGCCATGGTGATTAAAGAAAGGGGCTTAGACAAGAAAACAGCTTGGGGAGAAAAGATACTGTTGAAATGAACAAAGTACGGTGAAATGAGCAGTACAGAGATTTAAACACAGGCCATCACAATCCCTTTTGAAAGGAGATCTTCCCTCTTTGAGCAGAGGCTGCTGTAGGATGGACACAGACCATAATGTGGTCTCAGACCAATATGCAGCCTGCTCTGGAACCTCTCAAGTCTGGGTCCTGCATAAGGAGGGTGCCTCACATTTGGAGACACCCCAGTGGAGAGAGGAGAAAAGGAAGGAAGGGTGCACCTGAAGGCAGAATTAGAGTAAGAAGGGTCACCCCACACACCCCAGAGGGAGTGTGTTACCTCTTCCCTACCAGCCCATGTACAGCACCTGCTGTCCCCTCCTGCCAGCTCTGATGGGAATGTGGTAGCTAATTGCCAGGCTGCACCATTACAGCAATTGGCCTAATTTACAGCAGTGCAGATGTGTTTCAATGCAATCCTGCAGCTGGAGTGGTGTGAGGGCAGTGGCACTGGTGGAGTGGGCAAGGGAAGCACTATTTCATGAAGCCCCATCAGGTCGGCCTGTTCCACTACAAGGTTGGACAGAAAGACATTTACAGCAACTGATTTCACCACTCCTTGAGTTGTCTTAAAGCAAATTGGTGCCACTCAGCAGGGACAAAGTCAGCTTCATCCTTCAGATCCTGTGCATGGGACAATGAGGGAAAGCTTCTCTTTTTTTTTTTTAATTTCTCGTGCAGGTGAACAGCTTCTCTACCAGATTCCCAACAACAGAGTCCTCACCAGTAAGATAGGGCTTTTATGCTGCCTGAGAGAGCAAGAGCGAGTGATGAAAAAGATCAGTAGGAGCTCCAGTTCCAAGTAAGAGCTCTCACCTTTGAGCCTCGACCAGAAACACGCCAACAGAAAGTGAGAGACATAAACAAAGGACCAGTTTCTTCTGGATACCTAACAGTACAGGATACAAAATATTTGGGTTTTATTTCTTCCTTATGAAAGCGTTGGATGGGGTTTTCAACTTGTATTTGATTCTCCTGTAGGTTACTGAAGATGGAAGAATTCTTCCCAGAATCTTTTCGCCTGGACTTAAAAGATGAGAGAGATGCCTTTTTTGAGCTTTGCAAAGGTAAATTGTCTTAATGACGGTGGCAACCAATTTAAATATCTATGTGATCCTCCAAAATGTTTGTAAAAGTAATATGCAGTAAAAATAATTGATATCTATGTGCATATGTACCAAGCAAGCAGTTTTCAGAGCCCACAAATGGGCACACAGGCGTTTCACAGGACACACGTTACTGTAACAGCCTCCTTCTCTCTGCAGAAGAAGACATTTGGATCTGCAAACCCAATTGCTCTAACCAAGGTCGAGGAATTTTCCTGCTTAAGAATCCAGCTTCTGTCAACAGCCTTCAAGCCAAGCTCCACAGCACCAAGGAACATCTACTCAATAAGGGGGTACCACACAAGGCTCCCAAGGCCAGGATAGTGCAAAGGTAGAGACCAAAGGCTGGGAATTCCTGTGTGAATAGTGCATTTGATGAAGCACACAGGCCTCAGCGAGCTGAACTGTGCCATAGGTATTTGATGTGCTTACACCACATCTCATCAACCTTTGATATTTTATTTTGTGGGAGAGAGGCTATTTTGCTGGTTAGTCCATCTTGCAGACACACTTTGGTCGTTTCAAAGTAGATCTTTGTCATCAGAAAGATTTGAGTTTACCTTTGTCTGGAAATTTAAGAATGACTTCAAAAGGCCAGGTGCTGAGGTTCTGTACATGAATGTGACACACAAAGCATTGCACAAAGCAATTTAAATTAGACATTATCCCAGCTTCTGATACAAAAGTGGGATTTTACAAACTGTACAGCTACAATATCTGTTCCGTGCAATCTAGCAAAGCCTCCCAAATACCTTCTGAACTCCACCTCAGTGCTGCAAAAGTCTACCTCAATCAACATGCTGTGGCAACCAGTCACTAAAATTTTGCTTTATTTTTGATTCCTTGCATGAATAAAAGAACCACGAAGGTTCTTTGTGGAATACACCCCCTCTCAGCCACTGCTAGAACATTTTGTAGAGTAGCAGAACAGCAGAAAGAGGAAGGGAAAGATAAGGTAGCAGAAGCTTTGAGAACAGTTTCAGCCACTGGACATTACTTGTTCACTTTTACACAACTCACTTGACTGTTGTTCCTCAGCAGCCAGTGTAAGGAGCATTTATTTATATCTATACATTAGACCAAGGGCCTTTGATAGACCGATACGTGTCTTTGACACTGACAATCAGCAGTGCCAGGGGAAGAAGTGGTTGGACCCTATCTAATATCTCAATTTCTGTTCATGAGGAATGGCTTGTGCTCTGCTGAATGAGGCTCCATATTCCTTTGAAAACTGCAGTTAGCGTTGATCGTTTATAACAGCATATCCTTGTCATTTACGTAGACATCCAGCAACCTTTGATGATAAAGGGAAACAATTCCCAGATTACATCAGGCTGGCAATAAAAGCAGTGGTGCTGTATGAAGGGCTCTTTGTGCTCAGACATAAACTGTGTATATTCTCCAGTAAATATTAGTAAATCTTTAATTACCTCCCGCTCCTGAGACGGCACAGCTTCTCTTCCTCTTGAAAGGAGCAGTTTTGGGCATTTCTAACCTCTCCCAGGAGCGCCCTCTGCTGCCATTCACTTGTGTTGAAAAAGAGACAAACGGATCCGTTCTGTGGGGAGAAATGAACAGGTTTTTGTGTGAGCTTGGAATTGTCACATTTTATGGCTACTTGTTGGTGATGCTCGTTTGAAATGCTGCTCTGACAGGTACATTCAGCAGCCTCTGCTCCTGGAAGGGAAGAAGTTTGACGTCCGCTCGTACCTCCTCATCGCCTGCACGGCGCCCTACGTGTTATTCTTTGCCCAGGGTTACGTCCGATTGACCTGTGTCAATTATGATGCCGCTTCTGATGATCTGACAGTTCATCTCACCAACCAGGTAAATGAGTTCAGAAGAAGGGGAGGGTGCTGTTGGCAAAGATGGGAAGCCAAAAAAACTTTTGAAAGGCTAAAAACAAATACCTGATGTGTGCAGAATCCACGCACCCAGGAAAGGGATGGGGGCTCATGGTCAGGCATGGCAACAGGACTGAGCATAAGCAGTACTGGATCAGGTTCTGTTCTCTGCCATGGACCAGTTCTCTGCTTAACCTGACAATTTTTGCTCCTGGACCTCCTTTTTCCTGCCATTACTCTCTCATGTATCTGTAGATGATAAGCTTCTTAGGGAAGAAGCCTTTGATGGCAGCTACCTAGCACAACGGAGCCTTAATCGTGGCTAAGGATTTTGTGCTTACACATAATAATCATAAAGATGTAAGATGCAGAAGTGTTCTTCAAGAGCCATTATTCTTAAATCTTCGTCTTTGCTTGTCTTGCTTCTCAAACGAGAGCTACAACAGAACAAGACTGTTCTGGCTTGTATCCTGTACATCACACAAAACAGAAGCCTGCCTTGCTCAGATCTCCCCGCAGTTTTGCTGCAAATGAGGCCTTTCTGTAGTCAGAACTGGCCCTAATGAAAGAGAATTAAAAGAACCAGAAGGAAGAAAGCAGTTTGCTTTTAAAGGCCTTCTCTCCCCTCAGTATCACGCTGTGCTTTGAGAGCCCACACTGGAGAGGCATCAGACGAGCCCACTTCAGTTGGAGTTTTACGGTTCCTGTGGAAGTGCAGCTCAGGACAGCAGATTACAGCTGCTTCCTGCAGTCTCTGCCATTATCACTCTGCCCCTTGTTTTCCTGGAATAGTCTGTTTGCTCAGCTAGAGAGCTATCCCCAAGGAATTCAGGTGCTCGGGTAGGATCCCATGGCACAAGTGATATTAAACAAAGGACAGGTGTTTATTAGCAGAACATAAATTATCTCGGTTCCTGCTGGGAGGAGGGAAACAAAATTCACAGGAGTGGCTGGTTATTACCAGACTCCTACAAATTACAGTTGATTCTGCTCTCGTTTTCCCTTCTCACCCTTTCATCCCACCTGGAATCAGTCATTTTCCTACTGGATGTCCAAAAGGCAAGAGGCAGCAGAGACAGCATCACTAACCTCACTGTGACCATCCCCAAGATGGACCTGCAGCCAAACCTATGCTGTAAATACCCCATCACCCAGCCGACACAGGGAGTCATGAGACAGTGGAAGGGAGAAGCCCTCACCTTGGTTTCCTCTGGGGATACATCTCAGACCTCTCCCAGATGTGGTCTCCAGGCACTGGAACTGCATTAATTTCAAAGACTATCATGACTAGGATTTGAAAGCACCTCTCCCTGACTGACAGCCACTGGTCCAGTGTGTATCATACATACACACACACACAGAAAACACCACTCTGACAGCAACCTTGGGAAATGGTCTCTCCAAGGGCCACGTGGGTGAGACACATTTGTGCCCGTGGCAGTGCTGTACGATGGGAGTCAGCATGTTTCTTCAGGTTTAGCTCTGCTGGTGAGGTGTGGGAGAACAAGGGGTTAACAGGATTGTGGAAGAAGCAGAGACCAGGAGAAGAAGCAGGAACAATGGCAGAAGATGGCCCATAAGCATCTCCAGACCTGTAAACAGGACCTGTAAACAATGCCTGGTGCCCCTGACTGATGGAGGGGAATAGCAAAAAAACAGTCTTTGAGATCAATGATGGCTATTGGCCAATTTTGAGGCAGCATAGAAGGTGAAGGAAGACCAGGCTGTAGCGCACCCATGGGCTCAATGACTGAGTGAGGGGCTCTGTTTTCTCCACCCCTATAACTTGATCCTGACCTTCTTCCTGACTCCAGATGCCTGGAACAACAGGGTGGTTGGCCATCTGCTATGCCAGCCAGTTCCCAGTGGCTCTTCACTGCCAGAAATCTAATGGTCCCTCTGCTCTGTCCCCCAGCACGTGCAGAAGAAGAACTCCCTGTACAGCCAGCTGAAAGATGAGACGGTGTGGCGGATGGAGCACTTCAACAGCTACGTTAATGAGAAGTTCAGAAAAACCAATGGTCTCCCCAAAGACTGGGTTCTCACTGTGTTTACTGTAAGTGTGTGGTGTGTTACTCTGCCTAATGAGGGGGACTGAAATAGGGAGAAACCCCGTCAGGTCACTGGAGCCCCCAAGGAAACACATACACTGAGTGAGAAGGTATTGATGGCCCCATGGTAACCATCTGTCTGCAGATGCTAAACACAGAAGTGAAGACACAAAGAGATTAATTTTAATAGAATGGGTAATCTGCTGACAAAGAGAGTGTGAATGTAAACTCTAGCTATAAAAATGCAATTACGGTCTTCACATTCCTTACCCAGTGCTGTGGTCCTGCATTAAAAAATAAAGTACAGATTGGAGCCCCATAGGAGTAAAGGGAAAAACACCCCTAAAAATTCTTTAGACAGCTCCTTCTGAGTAAGGGACAAGGGCCAAGACTCCTTCACACACCACCCCACCAAGTTCAAGAGGGGATTTCAATCAACTCAAAGTGGACAGACTTATGGTCTGCAAAGTCTAGAGGGGAGCTCTGCTGGGGCAGGGGACGAAAAAATTTCCCTATTCAAGAAAGCACCTATGACTTAGAGTCACTCCTGTGCCCTTGGCACTCGTGATGACCAGTTACCACCGTTCCCTCTCTTCCCTTGCAGAAGAGGATGCAGCAGATCATGCTGCAGTGCTTCCTGGCAGCCAAGCACAAACTGGATCGCAAGCTGGGCTACTTTGATCTCATCGGCTGTGACTTTTTAATTGATGAAAACTTTAAGGTACGAACGCAATATCGTCAAATACTAAGTGTGATGTTGGCCAGATGTCTCATGCCAGCAGTACAACATGGTGGGCACAGGCTCTGGTGCTAGGAATTAAGTAGAGCATTCAGGCAGTCACGTATGAAGTATAGGATTGATTTTTCTTCTCCAATTCTGTTGTCCAGCATCGAGACACGGCACCTGTATTTCCTGCACATTCCTGGCATTAACAGCTCAGGATGGGAAGAAAAGTACTTCCTGCAGCTGCAACTGTTCTGTGCAGAACTTTCACAGGGCAGTGGAGTTCATAGGCAAAAGTATGGGAATTTTAATGCCCACTCAGTTTTTTCTTTCTCCAGAAACCAAACATGCCAGCATAAATCAGTGTGTAATGCCTCCAACATCACCTGAAGCCCACTGATTTGCACTAGCTGAGTGTCCATCAAAGGCAACAAAGAACTTGCCCTCACCATACTGAAGATCAGTCATTATCCATTCAGGTGTCAGCATCAGCATCTCCATGTCCACTGGGGGTTCACCACTTAGCAATAGGTCAGCCCAATGAGCCTATAAAATTGGCTAGAATTACAACTCCAACTTGTCAAGAGTGAATGAAACACAGCCGAGAAAAGCCAGAAGAAAGGGAAAGGGAAATGTTGAACACGGTGATTGAGGTGGTTTCAATGCATTACAGTCCTTCAAAACCACCTGGGCTGAACATAACAGAAAGCCATCTGGCAGATTCTGCTGTTGCTAAAGCAGAAAGGAACTCAAACTCCAGCCAAGGGCAGAGTGGGAACAGCAAACCCTATGAAAGAATGGAATTAATGTATGTGGCAGTGGGTAAGGCACCTGAACAATAGGCTCCTTTGTACTGGAAGTCAATGGTAAGGGAGAGTAAATGGCAAAGACATAGAAACTGGGGCTTCTCAGATTTCAGTGGGAATTGTCTTTTGCAATGTCGGCATGCAAAGCCCTGGCTGTGTAAACTTTAAGTAGAATAGAAGATCCAGTATCACTCTATTGTGGCAATTCCTTCTCAGCTAGTTAAAAACTTCAGCGTTTAAAGACCATTACATCCTCATGTATTTTACATATGGAGAGACAAACCAAATCTGTTCCTTGGCAGGTATTATCTGTAAGAACGAGGAGGAACTTCCGGGCACTTAGTGGTGACAGAGTCAGTTGGAAACTGGAACTTCCCTTTGAGAGAGAGCAACGTGGAAATTTAGGCATTTATTTAGCATAGGTTTGTCTATGTTTTCTTGCACCTGCTGGGGAGCAACTAACCTACTTCTTTCTTGGAGCAGTGCTGCATCGAGAGACACTCCCTGCAGAGGCAGGACTGGCAGCTTCAACCACCAGTTAACACTGGTGGGTGCATCAAACTCCCAGTTTTCTGTGGGGTGACATCCCAATTCCTGCTCTGACATAATCCTGTAATACACAACAGCCTTATTCTCCCTGTCATCCTGTTCCATGACACATAGAATCTGCTTGATGCTGATTTAACGTGGTCCCATATGTTCAGTCCTATAGCTCATCATCCTTTTCCCTCTTATTTGTCTGAGATATAAATGCCCCCAGCATCATTCCTAATAATTCTTGAAGGCCCTGCAGCATCCCGATTCAGTCTTTGGAAGGTGTTCTTCCTGCCTCTGGAGTTCTTAGAAGCACAGATTGGAAAGCAGGGCTTGCTGAGAAACCACAGCTTTCAGTAGAGCTTTGCATATTCATGTGTAAACTGAGAAAAGAGCGAAGCACTTGAAGAGGAGAGGGAGCAAAACTGACGGATGTGGTTTTGCTGTTGTTGGCTTTTTTTTTCCAACCGTTTTTTGGAGCTTCCTTGTGCTGCACTGGAAATGCTGAAGTCACTGCCCAGTTCAGGACAGTGTCATTTTCAGTGCCCAAGGAACCTGTTTTCAGAAAGCATTGTGTCAGCCGTGCAGAAGGCCTTCTCTCTGGAGGTACACTGGGAAGACAGATGTGTAAATTTTTTATCAGCCATAAAAGGACCCCGCGATCTATCAGCAGAGAACAGACTGAACAGAGATAAGCCGTTTGCCAACTTGTGCTGGAGGTACATAACTGAAGATAATGCTCAAATCCCTAGTTAAAGCAGGGACGGTTCCTTTGATTTGAATGACACAGAGGTACCCCACAGATACTGTAAGATCTGGCTGTGCCTGCTCCAGGTCACACTGATAACAAAATCTGATGAAAGCTTGTCGAGAGCACGGAAAACAGAAGCCCACTGCCTTGGCCTGTGGTCTCCACTGTGCTAAGCTGGTCCCTTTCTGGGTCAGCAACATTCAGCAACACCCTTCCAGGGCTTGGTTTGTGACCGTGCACATGGGTTCAGCTCTGTCCAGATGGATGGAGTTATTTTATTCCTATTTCTGAGTGGCATTTCAGTGCTGCTGAAAGCTGCAGCCAGAGGTCAGGCTCCCTGGACACCTGCTGCTACACAAATGCAGAACAAGCCAGCCCTGCTGTGGATAGCCTGGGGCTTTGAAGTGTGTTACAGCATCCTAAGAACAAGTTCTGATGAAGAGAGATACAGACATTCCCATTCAGTCTGAGCTACCACATCACTTGGAGCCTTTGGGGGCAGGCACTGATGCCCTCTCCCTCCCTGAGAGCCCAGCAGGATGTTCAGCTTCCACCTGGCGAGCTCCAGCAAAGACCCACACAATTAAATAAACTAAAGGCTTTTTGATCAGAAACAGAACAAAACTCTGGCTCAATCATGCATTTCCTGCATACCAAAAAGCCCTACCTCTGCCCATGTCAGCAGGAAAAGGACCCTTGAGACAGGTCTTGTGCTCACAGAGAGCCACCACGACAACACGTGACAAGAGCGCAGTGCCATCGTCCAGCACTCCTCTGGGAGACACTGCACTGCTGCTGTAAGGAGCAACGAGACTACAATAGTAATTAAACTAGATGAAAATAAAAAATATTCAGCACATCCTAATATTGCATCTAGCACTATACAAAAAAAAACAAGAAATGAGGCCTCAAATCCTGGTGTACTGCAGGATCTGGTCGCAGTCAGAAAACTGTTCAAGAACCTACGGAAAAATCCTAATATTTAAAGATTTTAAGCCTACCTGTGATGTCTTGACAGAGTGAGTTTAAGATGTGATGGAGCATGGAGTTGTACTGCCAGGCTGCAGGGAGCAGCAGCCTCTTCACACCGGAGTAAGACCCAGAGCAGCAGTTCTGAGCAAAGCCACAGGGCACTCGTTACTGTCCTCATCCCTTGAGAGGCCTAAAGAAAAAAGACAGTCCATGGTTAGGAAGTCGAGGACAGATATTCTGGATTTGGGGTTCCTTTCTTTGTCATATGTTTGCTAGGAAATTCTAAGCAAGGCACCTGCATGCCAGATGCAGGGAGAAGCACAGGAATTTCATTCTACCTGAAATCCCCTTGAAATTATAGATAATCACAGAAATACGGTGAATCTTGGCTTATAATATGTCTTCTCTTATATTTTATTATGCTTATTCTCTGCTCTTCCTTAACTGGAACCAAAGGGATTTATTAACTTGCCCTGGTTGCTGAGAGGTTAAAAGCATTTAAAAACTGTGAGACACTCAGGCAGCACAATAATGGGGAACGTAGAAAATGAAAAGCATGAGAACAGAGAACTTCCTTCCTCCACCTTGTCAGTTTTATTTGTTTCAAAGGAGAAGAAACCAAAACCTAATCAAGACAATTATAAAGGGTCATTGAGTTCATCTGTCAGCACAAAATCTTATGAACTTTTAATAGGAAAAAGAACACTTACTCAGAAGATGAATGAGTTTGCCAAGAAAAATATATGTAACTGAGGTGCCCTCTGTTGGCATCTGCAAAGCAGGTTTTTTTGATCAGCTGTACCAGTTTGCTGGGGGAAAAAAAACCCCCACATTTCACTGCCCTCACTTACTAGTCTTTTCATTTGTTTAATAAAGTATTTCAAAGAAGTGAAAATTATTGTTGTAGATTATTCTTAGCAAAACAAAGAGCCAAAGGGAAGGCTATCGTGTTGCCAAAATGTACCAAACACTGAGATTTCACTTCGCAGCTACTTGCAAGCAAACTCATTGCTTCAAAGTAAAAAAAAGTAAAATAAAAAAAATCAGATTTTTAAAGCTATTTTTAAAAATCAATTAAAAGGGAGTAAAGTTCTCCTGGGGCTGTTACATGATTAAATAGCCTCTCTTACAAAACACTGAATAGTTCCTATGTGTGTTATATACAGCATTTAGCACCATATGGTGGAGGCAGGAAATGAACAGATGAGTTTCTCTCACTATAGGGAAAAGAAATCGTAAACAGAATTAAGTGCAAGTCAATTGTTTGGTTTCACACAGATTTCTAACCGGACCATCACCTTCTGCACTTGCTGCTTCAGATCTTGGCATTTCAAAGGGAAGATGAGATGAGAGCAGTATAGATATGGAAAAGCAGTATTTTACATGGCTTCTACCTGAAACTAAAGCTTACCCAGGAAATTAAGGCCAAGAGTTCATCAAAAACTCAGTGCAATGTTCACTTGGGTTTGATCCCACATCCACTTCAAATCAAAATGATTCCTACTAACTTTATTTCACGGTATCCAAAAAGTTCCAACTAGAAATCATTATGGAAACTGGTATGTTAAGAATGACATCTAAAGAGCAAGAGTTAATCTAAAGACCATCAGCTGGGGACACAAATTAAGATGGTGTGTTCCTCTGTCCAGATGGATGGAGTTATTTTATTCCTATTTCTGAGTGGCATTTCAGTGCTGCTGAAAGCTGCAGCCAGAGGTCAGGCTCCCTGGACACCTGCTGCTACACAAATGCAGAACAAGCCAGCCCTGCTGTGGATAGCCTGGGGCTTTGAAGTGTGTTACAGCATCCTAAGAACAAGTTCTGATGAAGAGAGATACAGACATTCCCATTCAGTCTGAGCTACCACATCACTTGGAGCCTTTGGGGGCAGGCACTGATGCCCTCTCCCTCCCTGAGAGCCCAGCAGGATGTTCAGCTTCCACCTGGCGAGCTCCAGCAAAGACCCACACAATTAAATAAACTAAAGGCTTTTTGATCAGAAACAGAACAAAACTCTGGCTCAATCATGCATTTCCTGCATACCAAAAAGCCCTACCTCTGCCCATGTCAGCAGGAAAAGGACCCTTGAGACAGGTCTTGTGCTCACAGAGAGCCACCACGACAACACATGACAAGAGCGCAGTGCCATCATCCAGCACTCCTCTGGGAGACACTGCACTGCTGCTGTAAGGAGCAACGAGACTACAATAGTAATTAAACTAGATGAAAATAAAAAATATTCAGCACATCCTAATATTGCATCTAGCACTATACAAAAAAAAACAAGAAATGAGGCCTCAAATCCTGGTGTACTGCAGGATCTGGTCGCAGTCAGAAAACTGTTCAAGAACCTACGGAAAAATCCTAATATTTAAAGATTTTAAGCCTACCTGTGATGTCTTGATGGAGAGCATCTAGCACTATACAAAAAAAAACAAGAAATGAGGCCTCAAATCCTGGTGTACTGCAGGATCTGGTCGCAGTCAGAAAACTGTTCAAGAACCTACGGAAAAATCCTAATATTTAAAGATTTTAAGCCTACCTGTGATGTCTTGACAGAGTGAGTTTAAGATGTGATGGAGCATGGAGTTGTACTGCCAGGCTGCAGGGAGCAGCAGCCTCTTCACACCGGAGTAAGACCCAGAGCAGCAGTTCTGAGCAAAGCCACAGGGCACTCGTTACTGTCCTCATCCCTTGAGAGGCCTAAAGAAAAAAGACAGTCCATGGTTAGGAAGTCGAGGACAGATATTCTGGATTTGGGGTTCCTTTCTTTGTCATATGTTTGCTAGGAAATTCTAAGCAAGGCACCTGCATGCCAGATGCAGGGAGAAGCACAGGAATTTCATTCTACCTGAAATCCCCTTGAAATTATAGATAATCACAGAAATACGGTGAATCTTGGCTTATAATATGTCTTCTCTTATATTTTATTATGCTTATTCTCTGCTCTTCCTTAACTGGAACCAAAGGGATTTATTAACTTGCCCTGGTTGCTGAGAGGTTAAAAGCATTTAAAAACTGTGAGACACTCAGGCAGCACAATAATGGGGAACGTAGAAAATGAAAAGCATGAGAACAGAGAACTTCCTTCCTCCACCTTGTCAGTTTTATTTGTTTCAAAGGAGAAGAAACCAAAACCTAATCAAGACAATTATGAAGGGTCATTGAGTTCATCTGTCAGCACAAAATCTTATGAACTTTTAATAGGAAAAAGAACACTTACTCAGAAGATGAATGAATTTGCCAAGAAAAATATATGTAACTGAGGTGCCCTCTGTTGGCATCTGCAAAGCAGGTTTTTTTGATCAGTTGTACCAGTTTGCTGGGGGAAAAAAACACCCCACACTTCACTGCCCTCACTTACTAGTCTTTTCATTTGTTTAATAAAGTATTTCAAAGAAGTGAAAATTATTGTTGTAGATTATTCTTAGCAAAACAAAGAGCCAAAGGGAAGGCTATCGTGTTGCCAAAATGTACCAAACACTGAGATTTCACTTCGCAGCTACTTGCAAGCAAACTCATTGCTTCAAAGTAAAAAAAAGTAAAATAAAAAAAATCAGATTTTTAAAGCTATTTTTAAAAATCAATTAAAAGGGAGTAAAGTTCTCCTGGGGCTGTTACATGATTAAATAGCCTCTCTTACAAAACACTGAATAGTTCCTATGTGTGTTATATACAGCATTTAGCACCATATGGTGGAGGCAGGAAATGAACAGATGAGTTTCTCTCACTATAGGGAAAAGAAATCGTAAACAGAATTAAGTGCAAGTCAATTGTTTGGTTTCACACAGATTTCTAACCGGACCATCACCTTCTGCACTTGCTGCTTCAGATCTTGGCATTTCAAAGGGAAGAGGAGATGAGAGCAGTATAGATATGGAAAAGCAGTATTTTACATGGCTTCTACCTGAAACTAAAGCTTACCCAGGAAATTAAGGCCAAGAGTTCATTGAAAACTCAGTGCAATGTTCACTTGGGTTTGATCCCACATCCACTTCAAATCAAAATGATTCCTACTAACTTTATTTCACGGTATCCAAAAAGTTCCAACTAGAAATCATTATGGAAACTGGTATGTTAAGAATGACATCTAAAGAGCAAGAGAGACCATCAGCTGGAGACACAAAATAAGATGGTGTGTTGTTCTCAAGTATGCAAATGTATGCAAAAAAAGGGATATTGTTTAATTCATCCAGTCCTTCTGAAAATTCTCTCCTGCCTGCATTCTGTGTTGTGGGGTTTTGTTGGGATTGATTAGTTCTCCTACCTCTAAGATGCTCACCAAGTCAGTAGAAGGACTTTGCTCTGCCTCTGAGGAGACCCATTTGTCTTTTGTAGGTCTGGCTCCTGGAGATGAATGCCAACCCAGCACTGCACACCAACTGCCAGGCCTTGAGGGACATCATCCCAGCCGTAGTCAACGAGAGTCTCGGTAAGGGAACACGTCACGGGGTGGCAGAAAATGCCGTCACTCCAGTGCTTGTCAGAGGAAAGACTTCTGTCTGTATCAATTGTAGGGCAACACCAGTCGTTGAATAAAGATATTGCACTGCTGAGTCTGTAAGAAATTCAGAAAACACTGAAAATTCTAATCCATGCAGACCTAGAAAAGCCAGAGTCTTTTTCGCCGGGTACCCATTAGAAAGAAATAAGTGATTACACTCTTTTTTTTGTTATCATTATTTTTAAGAATCTTTTCTTACATATTTCCATACAAGAGGCCAAATCTTAATACATGACCCTATAAACTGCACCTGCACATTTTTCTCATGCCTGTTGCTCTGAATGTGCAGGAATTCAAGTTGGTTTTTGCAGCGTGCCTGACCCGGCCGTGGCAGGGCTGGAATGCCAGGGTAACCCCCTGGACTTCTCAAATACAGCTGGCAGCTCTTACCCAAACTACACAAAGTCTGACAAAATCCTCATGTAGTCTGATATACGTTAATTAAAACTGCTGCTACCTGGAGGACCAAAATCTCTGATTTTTTTGTGATATCCCTCTATGTGTGAGGAGAAGTAAAGGGGGAGTCTATGTCTGCCTGAAGGGGATTGGCAATAGCCCACTGATGCTTACTGTCACAGATACAGTTACCATCCTGTGCAGATGTATTTTTATTTGGGGGTATATTCATATCCCGTTTTGCACTGTAAACTGTTTTACAGTATAGTTCCTACCATTTTCCTAAAATGCTTCCAGTAGAGCTGAAGCTGGCTGAAGTGTGGAGTTGTACTGCCAGGCTGCAGGGAGCAGCAGCCTCTTCACACCGGAGTAAGACCCAGAGCAGCAGTTCTGAGCAAAGCCACAGGGCACTCGTTACTGTCCTCATCCCTTGAGAGGCCTAAAGAAAAAAGACAGTCCATGGTTAGGAAGTCGAGGACAGATATTCTGGATTTTGGGTTCCTTTCTTTGTCATATGTTTGCTAGGAAATTCTAAGCAAGGCACCTGCATGCCAGATGCAGGGAGAAGCACAGGAATTTCATTCTACCTGAAATCCCCTTGAAATTATAGATAATCACAGAAATACGGTGAATCTTGGCTTATAATATGTCTTCTCTTATATTTTATTATGCTTATTCTCTGCTCTTCCTTAACTGGAACCAAAGGGATTTATTAACTTGCCCTGGTTGCTGAGAGGTTAAAAGCATTTAAAAACTGTGAGACACTCAGGCAGCACAATAATGGGGAACGTAGAAAATGAAAAGCATGAGAACAGAGAACTTCCTTCCTCCACCTTGTCAGTTTTATTTGTTTCAAAGGAGAAGAAACCAAAACCTAATCAAGACAATTATGAAGGGTCATTGAGTTCATCTGTCAGCACAAAATCTTATGAACTTTTAATAGGAAAAAGAACACTTACTCAGAAGATGAATGAGTTTGCCAAGAAAAATATATGTAACTGAGGTGCCCTCTGTTGGCATCTGCAAAGCAGGTTTTTTTGATCAGCTGTACCAGTTTGCTGGGGGAAAAAAAACCCCCACATTTCACTGCCCTCACTTACTAGTCTTTTCATTTGTTTAATAAAGTATTTCAAAGAAGTGAAAATTATTGTTGTAGATTATTCTTAGCAAAACAAAGAGCCAAAGGGAAGGCTATCGTGTTGCCAAAATGTACCAAACACTGAGATTTCACTTCGCAGCTACTTGCAAGCAAACTCATTGCTTCAAAGTAAAAAAAAGTAAAATAAAAAAAATCAGATTTTTAAAGCTATTTTTAAAAATCAATTAAAAGGGAGTAAAGTTCTCCTGGGGCTGTTACATGATTAAATAGCCTCTCTTACAAAACACTGAATAGTTCCTATGTGTGTTATATACAGCATTTAGCACCATATGGTGGAGGCAGGAAATGAACAGATGAGTTTCTCTCACTATAGGGAAAAGAAATCGTAAACAGAATTAAGTGCAAGTCAATTGTTTGGTTTCAGACAGATTTCTAACCGGACCATCACCTTCTGCACTTGCTGCTTCAGATCTTGGCATTTCAAAGGGAAGAGGAGATGAGAGCAGTATAGATATGGAAAAGCAGTATTTTACATGGCTTCTACCTGAAACTAAAGCTTACCCAGGAAATTAAGGCCAAGAGTTCATTGAAAACTCAGTGCAATGTTCACTTGGGTTTGATCCCACATCCACTTCAAATCAAAATGATTCCTACTAACTTTATTTCACGGTATCCAAAAAGTTCCAACTAGAAATCATTATGGAAACTGGTATGTTAAGAATGACATCTAAAGAGCAAGAGAGACCATCAGCTGGAGACACAAAATAAGATGGTGTGTTGTTCTCAAGTATGCAAATGTATGCAAAAAAAGGGATATTGTTTAATTCATCCAGTCCTTCTGAAAATTCTCTCCTGCCTGCATTCTGTGTTGTGGGGTTTTGTTGGGATTGATTAGTTCTCCTACCTCTAAGATGCTCACCAAGTCAGTAGAAGGACATTGCTCTGCCTTTGAGGAGACCCATTTGTCTTTTGTAGGTCTGGCTCCTGGAGATGAATGCCAACCCAGCACTGCACACCAACTGCCAGGCCTTGAGGGACATCATCCCAGCCGTAGTCAACGAGAGTCTCGGTAAGGGAACACGTCACGGGGTGGCAGAAAATGCCGTCACTCCATTGCTTGTCAGAGGAAAGACTTCTGTCTGTATCAATTGTAGGGCAACACCAGTCGTTGAATAAAGATATTGCACTGCTGAGTCTGTAAGAAATTCAGAAAACACTGAAAATTCTAATCCATGCAGACCTAGAAAAGCCAGAGTCTTTTTCGCCGGGTACCCATTAGAAAGAAATAAGTGATTACACTCTTTTTTTTGTTATCATTATTTTTAAGAATGTTTTCTTACATATTTCCATACAAGAGGCTAAATCTTAATACATGACCCTATAAACTGCACCTGCACATTTTTCTCATGCCTGTTGTTCTGAATGTGCAGGAATTCAAGTTGGTTTTTGCAGTGTGCCTGACCCGGCCGTGGCAGGGCTGGAATGCCAGGGTAACCCCCTGGACTTCACAAATACAGCTGGCAGCTCTTACCCAAACTACACAAAGTCTGACAAAATCCTCATGTAGTCTGATATACGTTAATTAAAACTGCTGCTACCTGGAGGACCAAAATCTCTGATTTTTTTGTGATATCCCTCTATGTGTGAGGAGAAGTAAAGGGGGAGTCTATGTCTGCCTGAAGGGGATTGGCAATAGCCCACTGATGCTTACTGTCACAGATACAGTTACCATCCTGTGCAGATGTATTTTTATTTGGGGGTATATTCATATCCCGTTTTGCACTGTAAACTGTTTTACAGTATAGTTCCTACCATTTTCCTAAAATGCTTCCAGTAGAGCTGAAGCTGGCTGAAGTGAACGCAAGAAAAGAAAAGTGTAGTGTTCTAGTCTTCTTTTTTTTTTTTTTTTTTTAAATTTTCTTAAAAGTAATATTCCACAGAGGCCACAGATTACAGGCTGGAAACCACTTC